CCCTCACAGGAAAGAAGTTCCTCCTTGTGTTTAGATGGAACTTCTTATGTTCAAGAATTCTTATGTTTTGCAGCAGAATGATGGTGACACTCCTCAGAGCGTGGAGGGTTATCCTGGTTCGGACTCTATTCTAATGCTTTAAAACCCCCTCATTTTAGTCCCTCTAATTCCAAGGGATGGTGCTTGGCTCTCCAGTGATCTATCTTGAAAGGGGTAGGTCCAGGTGGAGAGCACTTCTTCATGCCGTGTCCGTGTGACACAGGTGATACGGTGACTCTCATTGCAGAGCTAAGGGACAGCACGCTACGGTTCAGATGGCAAAGTGTGAGTTTGGGTGCTTGCTGCCTCTGTGCATGCTTTCACAAGTAAGGGCAAAATAGAGACTATCATTTAAAAACAAGAAAAAAAAAGCTTTCTGATCGCTTAATTAGTTATTGCCCCCTTTCCCCCGGATGGCAGAGGCTGGAAATTTGAAGGATGCTCTCTCTGAAATGCTTGGTGATGCAGTCACACAGCTTCTTAACAGGAGGGCTTTTGAATTTATTCAGAAATTTATTCCTCTGTAGTGTGGGCTGGGGACAATCACCTTTGTGTCAGGTAGTACACCCCGGGCCAGGCGTGCTGGCCACCACTGTCCCTGTGCAGATGGGTAGTTGGAAGTGAACGTTGTGTCTTAATACGAAACAATCTTTGCTGGGTTTTGGTTTTACTAAGAGCAGAGCTCTTTCTGTCAAGACATGGTTGTGTGCGAGGGGGAAGTTGCCCGAATTGTGTATTTTCCCTTGAAAACACAGTTGGCTTCTTAAAAAAACAGAAGCACTCTATGTTTTCTCAAAGTCTGTGGTTACCAGGAGAAATTTCTCAGACAAAAGTACCAGAGGACTCAAAACACAAGGGTAGTGTTCTTCTTTAGCATCCCTCCACGTTTTTGGATATGCTGTATTGTTGTTAAGCCAACCAAGAGAAAAGCTTTTCTGTGCAAGGAGGCTTTGAGAACATTCACTGCCAGATTAAATTAGCCTTTCTGAGAATAAATTAGTTGTTGTGATGTAGGCAGCCCTGCTCACTGCAGCTGTAAAATCCACTCATGCTCCATCCACGGCAGATAACTTAAATGATAGATGCATTATCTGTGTTCGGGGTCGTGCTGTTAATTTGAGATTAGATTGCTGGCTGGTGATGAATGAAAAATCAGTCCGTTGAATTTTATTGATTTTTCTTCCAAACACGTAGCAGGCCACCCTTTTAAGAGAGGCAAAGGAGCCCCTGGGATTCAGTGCAGCATCATTTTGGGAGGAAACTACCAGCCAAAGCCAGTGTCGTACCTCTGATGTGGTGAATCTCTGACCTGGGATGCTTTTGTGGTCCTTGAGGGTCCCAGTGGCAGAATGGGAGCATTGGAGGGAAGGATAAAGAGTAGAACAGGGAGTGAAGGAGAGCGGTGGTGGTGGGATTTCCACGCTGCTGCCAACTCCTGACCACTGGATGAAGAGCTGCTGCTGGATGCCCTTTTCTTAAAGGCATGTTCCGTTTGTCTTCCAATTAACTTAGTGTCTTTGTTCTGCCTCGTGGTATATAAGGACGTGCTCGCAGATGAGGGTGTGTGCTGAAGGCTCAATTTGCTCTTCCCACCATCTCTCTGTGACCATTCAGCCCCTCCAAAATCTTCATGTAGCCTTTGAGCAAGAGAGTGAAGCTGGGACTAGAAACCATTTCCATTGCCGTTAATAAATCAGCTCTTCTCCTGGGCTGGTTTAGCTCTTCCACCAAGATGATGTCTATTTGCCTGTCCCCGCAAAGTTTGTGGCTTTGAGCTACAGGTGTTATTTTTGCCCCGCTCAGGGTTTCAGACTCCCTCTTGGATGCCACGGTTCAGGAAGCATTAGTGCGGTGGGAGCTCAGTTTTGAGCTGCCGATGGGCTATTCTGGTGAGAGAGAAAACCATTCCCAGCTTGTTTGGTATCTGGTGGGAGCTGCTGAGTCTCTGTTGGGCTCAAGAGAGGATTTCTGTCCTGCATCCTCCAGAGTAGCTGAGCTATTTACCTGCCCTGGGGGACATCTTGATATTATGTGCTTGAATTTTCACCTGTCCCAGTCTCATCCCCTGTTTGTGAGAGCAGCGACCCAGCCGTAGGACTGTTTGAAACCCTCTGACCAGCGATGCTCCTAGTTCAACAGTAGAGTGGTGAGATGTTGCCTGGACAGAGAGGCAGAGAAAGGGTTCAGAAAAGCTTGGAGCAGGGACTTGAGATGTGTTGCTGTGTATTAGGGCTGCTTTGAATCCAGCTACAGTGTCTAGATTTTCATCGAGAGATCTTCTGCTCGCTTCATATGCGGTTCTGGCGTCGCCGCTCGTCTCCAGGTGATGTTCCACTCGTGCCAAAACTAGGATGGTGCCTGGACCTGTGGCCTGCAGAGGTAGGAGGCCATCATCTCTCCTCCTTCGCTCTTCTTTTCGAAGCTCTGTGTGCCTGATTGCAGATTTTGCTGAACTTGGCTGGCTGATTTGTATCTTGGTCAATGTTCTTGTCAGATCTGCTTATGTTTAAGTGAGCCAGGCTCACGATGTGGCTTTGCACGTCCTCCTTATCTCCCCTGGCAGGACTGCTGTGTGTTGTCTCCGAGCAAGCAGTAGTGGCAAATTAGGCTCATGGGGAAACAGCTTTTGGGGTGATCTGAGGGACAGATATGTAGCAGCTTGTTATGTGGCTTTGTTCAGCAGATAGCTACAGAGTTTTGGGGAAGGGGTTACCAAGGAGTTGGCAGGAACTTGAAACCAAAGTCATGAAATGCTTTGGAGTAAAAATGACTTCACTGGCCTGGGAAGTCAGTGCAGACTAGCCCAGGCTGGCTGGAACTGGAGGGAGAAATGGGACCAGCAGGAGCTGCGTGTGTCCCAGTGCTCCCTCAGAGCCACCATGGTGCTGCTGGAGATGTCCCAGCACTGGGCACACTCAGTGGCTGGTGATCAACCCAGGGGATTTCCCCCTCTGTGAGCTGGGACTGTTGTCATCTGTCTTTGAGCCGCCCAGATGAGCTGGGTTTGGGAGCAGGGGGGTGCAGGGTGCCCTCCCCCTGTCAAACTGCCATGGGATGAGCGAGCCCCACGCTAGCCATGGGCCATCCCCAGAGAGGTCCTGGTATGGAAATGGGAAGGTCTGGTCACACCGTGGGGGCAAGAAGGTGAGTGGGATGAGTGGTCTCAGCACAGAGGACATGTTTTTGGAGGTGCATGGGTCCTCCTTGTCAGCAGGAGACCCTACACACACACTCCTGCTTAGCCCCAAACCACACCACAGCCTTAAATATAATGGAGTGACACAGGGTGCTTCTTACTAGTCCTCAGGATAAAAAAAAAAACCAAAGCAAGGTGACACTGTACCTGTTAAATCTGAACGTCAGCAGCTTCTCTGGCGCCAAGGCAGGGCTGTCTGGGAGGACAGAAAATGCTAAGGGTGTTGGAGCCTGGAGCCAGTCCTACAGCAAGCTGGTGCTGCAGCTCGGATAAGAAAACATCAGTACCACGATGAGTTTTGTCTATCACTTGGAAGGAAAAAGGATCTGGAATCGCCACCAACGTATTTGAAATCATTTCATTGTGTGGCAAAATCTGCAAGGGAATTCTGAATAGGCTCTTGGGCTCTGATTAATTCTGAAACTGAAATGTGGCTGCATCTCCACAAAAATGCTGATCCTCTATGACTCTAATTTCCTCCTCCCTTGGAGCTTACTCTGTTATTTAATGGAAGCCACACATCTAATCAGTTTGATTCAGCGACGATGGAGCTGTATTATTTGACTTTCTCTCAAAAAATTCTATAGAATGAGGGAGTAATGAAAAAAAAGGGGTGCATAAAGGAATAAAATATTTTTAGTATAGTTTTGGAAAGGAAATCTATAAAATCCCCAGTTGTGCTGTGAGTGGTAGTGGGTAATCATCCTGTATTCATCTTCTCCGTGCGAGAGCTGGGAGGTGCCGTGGAACTGGGCAGGGAGCAGACTGTGACAGCAGGGGACACTTGTTGGTGTAGGTGACAGAAGAGCAGAACTCGCCACCGCTGTCTGTGACAGTGCTCAACGAGTTGGTGGGCTCTGAAGGAATTTGGGGGGTCCATGGAGAAGCTCTGGGCTGTCTAATGTCTAAAACCCCAAATGCTGGGGGTGGGAGGGACTTGACGGGGGGGTCATTCTACCTTCCATCGCTGCCGAGCTCCTCCTGAAGCCTCTTAGGGGCTGCCATCAGAGGTGGGCTACGGAGCTGTGACTCTCTTTAATGCCAGCAACTGCAGAGCTTCTGCCCCATCTCCGCTGCGGGCTCTGCTTGCTGTGAAGCTTCTTGAGCTGGGTTTATTTTTTTGTTTGTTTAAATGAACAAGTCATCTTGCTGCGCTGTTAAGTTTGGAGTCACGCTAGAACACCAGCCTTGGAGCAAAACTTGGTTTTAGTTGCTCTACATTATTGCAGACTGTGTTATTTATTAACATAATTAACTAGATATCAAATGGATGATGTAATGCAGCATTTATTCTCTCGGGGGGAAACACTAAGTAGATGCACAGGACTCGGGGCAGCAGCTGCTGCTATCGCTGGGTGCTTTCCCATGGATGTTATCAAGTGTCAGCTTGGGCTGTTCATGAACTTCAGTGAAAGTCTCACAGAAAAGCTCTCTGGTTCCCCGGAGATTTGGCTTGCGGCACCCTCCTTTTCTCAGCCAAGTCTCTCTGGAGCAGATTGCTAAAGTGCAGAGGAACTCAGCTTAGTTTCTTTTAAATCACAACTTGGTATCCGTGAGAACACCTGGCCTGTTGTAGTCTGTCTTCTCTCCTCAGGGTGGGTCACCAGCTGGTGAGGTGTGAACAGAAAGCACCCCGGGAGTGTGTTTTCCAGGGCCAGCAGCAGACCTGCAAGGCTGCGAGTGTGCTGTGTGTTCAGAAAACTGTCTTTTGGGGGCTGAGCTCAGCTGCCCTGGTGGTCCAGAGCGCTCTGTGCACGTCTGAGCCTTCCCTGGTGCCCCTAAATTTGTAAGGGTTCAGTTTCGAAGTGTGGGGTGGTGGCCTCTCCTCCCTGGTAGCTCACAGGCTCCCTTCCAGCCCCTCTTGGCTCTTGTCGGATGTCACCACCGCCACGGCGAGCTCTGCCAGACGCGTGATGCTTCCCACGGCTGTGTGCTGCGGCAGAGAGCAATGAGCTGCCCCAGTTGGTTCATTTCGGCTGGTTTTTCTTTAAAATGTTCAGGTTTACCAGGTCCTGGCAACGCTGTTCCTGCAGCCCCGCTGTGGAGAGCCAGCAAGCACTTGGTCAGCCCATCTGGAGGCGAATAGCACTGGAGAGAATCCCAGAGGTGGCAGCAGGTCCCGACAGACGCTCCTCCCGCACGTAACCCTTTGTGGGTGTTGCAGATAAACCAGCCTGGTCTTAAGCAGGGGGGATTTTGTGCCCGGTTTTCCCAATATCCACAGAGAGCTGCTGCACCAAGCAGTAATTTGAGTCTCTGGCTGAGGACAGCTGAGCCTGGGCTGCGTCCTGGAGATTATCTGATTGTGCTTTGGATTTAATACCCTGGGAAACCTTGCTCTGGAGACAGCACCTGGCTTCCAGCGAGGATCCTGCTCTTAGTTGATTTGCCTCCTGGGTTACACTGGCACACGGAAGGTCAGACGACATGGCTGAGGCCCCGGGGTAAATGACTGCAACGAGGATGCTCCCTCCAGAGATTGACACGCTGTAGGGCAGAGTGGGGAGCTTTGGCTGTCTGCCGTAGCTGGATCGGACGGTGAATAACCTTCTCCTCGGGCAGTCCTTTGTGTTGAAGGACTGCTTCTGTCCTGCTTTGCCAGCAGAGATCTCCATCCCTGCGCCGGAGGAAGAGCCCGATCCTCCTGGAAGCAGCAGTTTTCTGTAGCTGGAATCTGGCTGCAGAGGAGTGGGGAGGAATCTGCTCGTTCTGCCAGCGGCCCGGCTGATGCCACACGGTGGGTTTGTGCTCCCTGGCAGCGCTGCCGGAGACGCAGGGCTTGCGCTTGGGGAAACGCAGCTGAGCCACTTGGGGGAAAAAAAGAACAGACCTCTCTGTTAGTCCTTAACTTCGCTCGGGGGAAAATAGAACAGACCTCTCTGTTAGTCCTTAACTTGGGTTTCCATCTGCTCGAGGGCGGTGTAGGCATGCGCCTTCTTGCTGCCTTGCCCAGGACCAGGATGATGTGTTGGGGAGGTGCTGCTGGGGTTAACAGTGGGATAAAGGAAGGGGGTACACGCTGCCTGGTCAAGGATTGCCAGGGCATCCTTTTTCTAAAGGAGGCTGCAGCCCTGTCTGCTCTTTATTCCTTCCCTCCTGGCTCTGGGGAGATGCTGTGCAGGCTGGAGGCAGCAAATGCGCATGGGAAGAGGCAAGGCTGAGGCGGAAGTTTGGCTCCCTCGCAGGGAAAACATCCCTTTTTCATTCTGCCTAAAAACTGGGCAGAAATACCAACTGATACTGCTTTTTCAGCAGGGATTTTTTGCCGTCTTTCCTTTGGAGGTAAGAGCTGTGCCGTGGATTGTGTGTGGTGCTTCCAAGAGCAGTGGGAGTTGAGCCCCGTCCCTGCGAGCTGTGTGGGAGCCGGCGTGTGCATGGAGAGGGCAGTGTCCCCTGGTGTGCTCTGTGGCACCGGTGGGATGAGCAGGTCCAGGCTGGGCTTTGGAGCTGCTGCTCAGAAACACAGGGCCGTTGTGATCGCCAGGGTCAGGGCATGGCCCTGTCCACCCCTCATCCAGCCCTGCTCGCTTCAATCCCTTCTTGCTACCCCCTTTAAAAGTGGGCTTTTGGTCAAATGATGTTTTGCCAGCGTCTCATCTGCCTTTTGTGCTCATACCTAGCAAATTTGCTTTCCTGGTCTCAGTATTTCCCTGGTTTTGGAGATGGTAGAATCCTGGGGCGCACAGGTAGCTTTCCCGGGGCTAGGAGAGCTGGGGTGGTGTTGGCCATAACGCTGTTATTTTTTTAAAGGAAAGAGGCTGGCCTCAGTGAGGGAGCCCAGCTTCTTCAGAGCTCTTGACTGTGTTTTTAAAGATGTGTTTATAGAAGCCTGGAAGCTGAAATTTGTGTCTGCTTGATGTGCAACGAAGCTGGAAGTGGTAGTATCCTTTTCTTTTATTTATTAGTTTAATTTTAGTGTGTTTTTACCTTTCCTAAGTTATGTTTTGGGGGGAGGAAGAGCTCCAAAAATGTGCAGCGGCAGCTTTTGAAGTGCCAACGTCACGAAGCGTGGTTGAGCAGCAAGCAGACACTTGCTTCCTGGAGCCACTTCTCGTGCAGGCAGAGCCAAGGCTGATCACCCCAGTCTCCAGTTTCTGGACCGCAGAGGGAGCGAGGACGACGCAGGCCGTGTTTGTGCCGGATCCTGGCGGTGCTGCGAGGCTGACTCAGAGCCTCACAGGGCCAGTGCTGCACCAGCAGGGCTCACACGTGAGTTAGACCTGCCAGGGACCCGCTCCGTCCTTCTCGGGTTTGTCCTGCCCTTGGTGATTTCATCCGGGAGGATTTCTTCTGCCCAGGAAGAACGGCCTTAACGGACCAAATCCTTGGATCTCCAAGCGTTGCAGGGATTATCTGTGACTCTCGTCTTCGTGGCATTCTCAGTTTTATGCTGTGTTAGCATATGATCAGCTTGGACCTCTTCTGGTGGTGTGATGTTCCTCCGGTCCCACTGCGTGCCACGGCTCAGTTGTTTTTGAGGAGCAGTGCCCTCCGTATCTGTTTGGAGAGCAACTCCGATGGGAGACCCTTCATCTCGCCATGAATCCCAGATCTGCAGTGATCCCGTGTGATGTAGCAGAGGGAAATACAGCCAGCGGGGAGCACTGGACTCCCCCAACACATCATCTCCTCTCAGTGCTGCTGGGAGAGCTTTGTGGGTCCCACTTTTGGATGTGGAATGGGAGCTGTGGGCTTTGGGGTATCGATCCCTAATTAACTAGAGCTGGGGTTGCCGAGTGCGGGAAGGAGGTGGATTAGAAAGCTTTGTGTTTTCTGAGAGCTGGGACTCTAGTCTGGAGAAGAGAAGGCTGAGGGGAGACCTTATCAATGCCTACAAGTATCTCAAGGGAGGGTTGAAGGAGGAGGGAGCCAAACTCTTTTCAGTGGTTCCCAGTGAGAGGACGAGGGGCAACGGGCACAAGTTGGAACATAAGAGGTTCCACTCAAATATGAGGAGAAACTTCTTCACGGTGAGGGTGACAGAGCCCTGGAACAGGCTGCCCAGGGAGGTTGTGGAGTCCCCTTCCTTGGAGATTTTCAAGACCCACCTGGATGCCGTCCTGAGTAACATGCTCTAGCTCTAGGCAATCCTGCTTCAGCAGGGGAGTTGGACTAGATGATCTCTATGGTCCCTTCCAACTCTAAAATTCAGTGAAATTCAGTGAAATTCAGTGTTTCCATATGCTGTGTGCTGCCCCGACAGCCCTTTGGCTCCGCTCACCGCTGTGGAGAGACCTCAGACAGACCTCTCGGGGCTGGGAGCTACGCCCTGATCTGGTGGGATCCAGAGACCTGCTGTTCGTTCTCCTCCTCTCCCAGAAGCTGCCTGAAGTGAGACTCTGGGTGGACCAAGGAGCACAAAACCAGCTGGGGGGGACACACATGGATGGCAGCCACAGCTGGGGTGGGCCAAGCCCTTTCTGCCCCTGGAGCTGTGATGGAGTCGTGCTCTCCCAGTTGTGCCCTGGCAGGGCTAACGGGAGCAGTGGGAATCCAGAACTTTTCTCTTTTGTTTCCTTTGGCAAATCCCCAGCCCAGCCTGTGAGAAGTCTCCCACGCAGCTGTGGTTTAGCCCCTCCTGTCCACACTGAATCCAAGCCACCCATAAAGGCCACAAGCTCCAAGATGGTAGGGGAAGGAGGACCAGGGAGTGACTGGGAGTGCCTGTGGGCAGGGCAGGTGAATCTCCATGGAGCAGTGAGACCAGCCATGGCTTTTGTGCCATCCCTGCAGCAGCACCACGTGCCAGAGAGCACGCCAGCACGGGTGGCACGTGAAGGGAGGTGTTGGGGTGTTGTCCCCAGAGAGGGAAAGGCTGATCCAGTGGGTCCCCTCTGTCCTCTGATCCTTGTTCTGCTCGGTTTGCCCTGCTGCCGGCCTGGGGGGGGGGGGGCTTTGATTGTCTCCTGTGTTTAACAGGAGCAGCATTTGCAACAGTTGTGTGGTGGGTTCATCTTCTGTTGTTAGTTTAAAGTAGAGGAGCCAGTAAAAGCTGTTCTTCCAGTTAAGAAGAACTAATCTGCATTTTTAGCTGGAAATAGCATCTCCTCTGTCCGTCCTTTTACTGGTAACCAACTCCTTTTGCATCTTACAGTCCTTGCTCCCAAAGGACCTGCACTAGACATTGATGGTTCCATCAGATCTTGAACTTAAGCCTGGTAAACTCAGCCTAAATTTTTTGTAAAGCTCTTTATTTTTCCCTTAAGTGTTCAACTGGTCTGTGAGCATGGTTATTCCAGTAAGACCTAGGGTGGATGCAGTTTCTGCCATCTTTGGGAATGTTTCTTCCCATGTTTGACCTAAGCTGTTTTCATGACACAGAAGTGCACTGTTTAATTTGGGCAGCTTTGCAATATGCTGGCAGGACGGCTCCTCGTGCTGGCGTGGGTGGCTGGAGATCCTGGGGTAAAGCTCAGCCTCCCAGGGTTGTCCTCTGCATGCCACGACGTCTCTGCTGTGAGCTCCCACCAGACTCCAAGTCCATCCCTCTGTGGTGGTGCCGTGGGCAGGGGAAGGCTCCTTTCTCTTCCACGAGGCAAGAGGGAGCAAAGTAAATCAGCTTCACCTAAAACTTGTGGGTAAAACCAGGAACAACCAGCTGCGAGAGTCCTTTATATGTGATTCTGGGGATTTGATGCAAAATACTGTTGTGGTTTTTGTTTAAAGGCTGGATCTTCCCAGTTCTACCTGCCTGTGCCTGGATACCATCAGCCTGCTCTAGCCCAGAAGGGTTCTCCCAACAGGGGCACCCTCTAGGCTCAGGGAAAATCTGCCTCTTTGCAGGGGTGCATCTGGGCTGCTTTGCTTTGGCCGTGTTGCTTTTGAGGGTGAATACTGCAGGGTCATCCCTTCCAGGGTGGTGAGTGATGCCATGGGGCAGCTCTTGTCCAGGGTGGAGGAGAAGCCCCAGGGAGCTCTGGGATGGAAATGGACTGGGACGGGTTCTGTGCTTCTCACATTCAGGTAGAAGAAAGCAGAGGAGAAGCAGCTTCTAAGAGGCTTAAAAGCAACAGGCTTTCTTTTTCCTCCCGGGAAGGGCACACAGCCAACGTCTTGCTCTTTACGGATCCCTCTTAATAAGCAGAATATTGCATTAAGAGTGGCTGAGCCTGCCAAGTGCCAGCAGAACAGCTCTGCAGCCCCTGCAGCCTCCTCCATCCCGGCGCACGCGTGGTTCCCAGATCCACTGGCCGTGGCGCTCGCGGCTGCGATTTCCTGCTGGAAATCAAGGCGGCAGGATTAATTGCTGGCTGGATCTGCGGCGGTTACTTCATCTGATGGGTGTTTCTGGAGCGGCTGGTGGAGCCACGTGGGTGGGATTGCCTCCTCTTGGTCTCCTGGGGTTTCTCTCACCAGCTGCTTTGATGGTGGGGGCAGTGGGGCTGGGGAGGGCTGGGAGATGTTCCGTGCTGGGAAGGCAGCATCCGAGCGGTAACGGGAGGAGAGCTGTTACACTACAAAAGCCGTGGGCTCAGCCGGCCTGCGAGGGCAAGGGAAGCTCCACGAGAGGCCAGTGTCCCCAGGTAAGGCCTTGAGGTTGCTCCGGTTGGGCTGGGCTCATCCAGGAGCCCTGCCAGCGTAGGGGCAAGAAGGTCTGAGGCTCCTGGGTGCTCAGGGCGGGTTGGTTGGCTGCTTTCAGAAGAGCAAGTCCTCCTTTTCTTTCCGGCGAAGCTAAAAAGAGCGCGGCCCAATTTGTAGCTTTGTAGGTCAGTGAAGGAGAAGGAGGGCTCTGCAGTGCCCTGCACTTCGGGTGCTTTTCTCCGCCGCGGCGGCTCTGCCGTACCCGCTGTGCGGGCCAGCTCTCCTTCCCCTGGCTCCAAAGGCAGAAATTGGAGAGAAAACCAGGAGGAAGATGCCCCCCAGCCACCTTGGAAGCTGTGTGTCTGTAACATACTGCTTAGGACCTCTGGGGAGGAGGTCTCTCCTCCTCCTTCTCATCCCCTCCAGGGAGAAATATTAGTCACTAAATTCGGACATCCTGGGGAGACCCTATGCCCGTCCAGGTTTTGCTCGTCTCAGGGTGATCAGCAAGGGGTGATGGTGCTCCTCCGTGGATTTGTGACACGATTAGATTTCCTGCCACCTGGAGGAGGCTGCTCGGAGGCAGGGAGCCTGAGCTAGAAAAATAGGAGTGGAATAAAGCGAAGCCAGGCAGGTTGGGGAGGGATGGGTCGTCCTTCCCGTGTGTGCTGAGGCCTTGGCTTTGCTTCACCCAGCAGCCTCACGGGCACCTCTCTGGGCACACCTGCAATGCAGGCAGGGTGGGCAGTGCTCGCTGCCCACAAAGGCTTGTGCTGTGGAGGTTGCCGTGCCCTGGGTGGGTTGCCCAGTGCGTGGCGTTGGTGCCAGGACCAGAGGGAGCCTTGCTGCCTCTCACCCCAAAGCAGTGACCCCACAGGGGTGCTGCCCGTCTCAGCCCCGAGCTCTCTGGGCTGAGCAGGGGGTTTGTGCCTCACCAGGGCTGTGGGGCAGCCTTGCTGGTCATGCCTTGGGGGGGTGATGTGGCAGCAGTGCCTGCAGTGGCCATCTCCTGGGGTCCCAGAGCCACCCTGGTTGTGCCCATGGGATTTTTTGCAGGCTGGTCATAGCCTGGGTACATTTTTCCTGCTCGGTTGGGAGCTGCTGGAGCGGGACTGGCTGAGAAAGCACCATCCTCGCAGCATGGTGACCCACCTTGGGTGAGCAGGACACCAAGGGGAACGGGACAAGCAGGGTCACGTTTGCCCTGGCCCTTCAGGGACAAAGGATGAGGGGGTAAAATAGGTGCTCAGACCCCGAGGGGAGCTTCTAGCCCTGCCCCTTGGGCTCTGTCAGCAATGTCACCGTGTCCCATGCCTGATGGCAGCCTTCCCAAGCAGCGAGGGAACAGCCTTTCATTTGTATTTCCCAATTCAGTCACGTCCTACCAGGTATAACTGAGCCAGAGCAAACATGGAAATCAGGTTTATTGATGCCATGGTGCTTCCTTGGTGTTCGGAGCGTGTCGGTGGGGCTTTTCCATGTGCCAAGGACGCGTGGCTTTGTGGTGGCCATCGAGGAGGTGCAGTGGGTGGGGGGTTCCTGCCCAGAGCCACTCTCCCCAAACCTGCACCGGGGAGGGGGGGGTTTGGCGTGGTGGCCAAGGGAGCACTGCAGCAGTGGCTTCTCTCCATCCCCGTGGCTCCTCTCCATCCCCATGACTCTCTTGCTGTCTCCCTTTGCCCAGGTTCTGTGGAATAAACCAGCTTCCAACCTACACCCCTCAGAAGAATTGTTATTCTCAGCTCTGTCCAGGCCTCTGAGCTCCTTGCTGCCAAGGACAGGTGAGTTTTACCCCGGGGCAAAAGAATATCTCCAGCAGTTAAAGGTGGTCTTACCTTAACTTGCTCGATGGGTGTATTTAAAGATGCTCTTAGGGGGTTTGCACCCTCCGCCCCACAGTTTGTGTGTCAGCCACCCCCTTGGGGCTCGGCCATTGCTGCTGGCTGGAGCTGGGGGGCTGTGGGTAGCTCTTCCCCACCATCAGTCCCCAGTACTGCCTGGCACGCTGGCCACGCGACCCAGAGCCACCCCCATGAGCTGCTGTGCACCACACGTGGGCCTCGGGGCCAGCAGGGAGATGTTACCCCTTGGGTTTGCTGCCTGGGTTGAAGCCCGTCCAGCTTTGGGGCTTGTTTCTGCCCACAGAGGGGGGGGCGGGCTGTGGCCATTGCAGCAGTGGCACCAGCCCCCAGACCCCTCCGTTACCTGCCACCTCCTTCCCCAGGCGCCGCGCTGCTCCGGGCGGGTTCCTGTGTCTCTCCAAAGGCTGGTGTCTCTCCTAAAGCCTTCTGTCCTTGCAGGGCCACCTTGAGCCATGTCCAACGACCCTCCGCCGCCCTACCCGGGGGGCCCCTCAGCGCCGCTGATAGAAGAGAAGCACGGCCCGCCCCCCGCCGCAGGTATTGGGGGTCCCGGCCGCTCCGGGGTGCCAGGGGTGACAGTGCTGAGCGGGCAGCAGCAGGGTGAGCGTGGCTTCCCGGGGAGCACAGCTCTGCCCTGCCGGGGGGAGGCACACGCCGGGGAGATGCCCGGCTCCATCTGTCACCGTATCCCCCTCTGGGGTGGCAGGAGGTCCCAGGGGCAGTGAGGAGAGCAGAAAGCCCTCCTCACTCATGGCCTGGCTGTGGTTGCTCCTGTGGGTAATGTGGGGTGAATTTGGGCTTCTTGTGGCCCAGAGGATGAGGTGTGGGGAGGGGGAGGACCCCCCCCATCCCATGTTCTGTCCCCTTTGCCTGGGGAATCCCCCCAGACCGCTCGGCCAAGCCACTGTCTCACACCAAGCTCTGCTGCCTCCTGCCCCAGCTGCTGACTCCGTGTTTCCTTTCAGATGGTGTCACCCCGGTCGTGGGACAGCCCCAGGGGGTCCCCATCCCCCCTCCTGAATTTGGGCCCCCCCCATACGAGCCGCCCTCACAGCCGGGGTTCGTGCCCCCCCACATGCCCACAGACAGCTCCGGGCCCTACGTGCCGCCTGGTGAGTACTGCAAGGGGCCCTGGGGAGTGTGTGTGTGTGTTGGGGGGACGACAACAGAGTTGGGGGGGTTGGGGTTGCCCTTTGGGGCTTGTAGGGTGGGTGGGGGCCACGGTGAGGTTGGCCCCAAGGCCATGCCCAAGGTGGTGGTGTGACAGCAGCCCCCAGCGAGCATCTGGCCTCTCCTGCCGCATGCGAAGACCTTCACTTGTGCACGTTTCTTGTTCCCAGCAGGTTATTACCCACCCCCAGGTCCTCACCCCCCCATGGGCTACTACCCAGCACCGGGCCACTACCCCTCTCCCGGTGGCCACACGGCCACGGTGCTCGTCCCATCGGGGGCTGCCACCACCGTGACGGTGCTGCAGGGAGAGATCTTCCAGGGCGCCCCTGTGCAGACGGTGTGTCCCCACTGCCAGCAAGCCATCACCACCAAGATCACCTACGAGATCGGGCTCATGAGCTTCCTTCTTGGCTTCTTCTGCTGCTTTGTGGGGTAGGTGCTGCAAGCAGAGCTGGGGCCTGCCGACAGCCCCACGGTGATGGTGGTCACTCAGCCCTGGTCCTGGTGGCCTCGATGCTGGCGGCCTTGGCCAAGCTGTTGGGCAGGGTGAGGACCTTGGCACTGAGGTGTTACTGGGACAGGAGATGGTTTCCTGGGGTGATGGTGCCTGAAGACCTGGCTCCTTCCAGGGCAGGGAAAGGTGCTGCCTCTGAAGGCTCAATGTAGACCCTGCCCTCAGAGCAGGTGCTGTTGATCCCCACAGCTCTGCAGAGAAACATGGGCTCTCCTTGTGGCCGGGGCCTGGCAGCAGTGGGGGCTGCCAGAGGGGAAGGGGACACTTGTCCCAGCCCCTTGCCCCCCGCAGTGGTGGTAGGTGGGGCCTCATCCCCTCCACGTGTCTCACCCTTCCCTCCATGAGGTGCAGATCCACTCACTAATGAGGCACTCACCCCTGGAGCAGCCGCACACCCCAAGGGGCAGGGTCCTCTCTGCTGCCCTTTGCAGCCACAGGGTCACGGTCGGGTCCCAGGAGCCCCCCAACCTGTGTCCCCGCTTTCCCCCCTGCCCGAGCTCACAGCTCTCTCTGCCTCTCCCTGTGCTGCAGGTGTGATCTCTGCTGCTGCCTCATCCCCTGCCTCTTCGATGACTTCAAGGACGTGACACACACGTGTCCCAACTGCAAGGCCTACATCTACACCTACAAGCGCATGTGCTAACGGAGCCCCCCCGCCGCTGGACCGACACCAGCCCCTCTCCCGCTGCCGTCCTCGTCTGCGCCTGCCCAACACTCTCCCGCTTAACACTCCGGTGGTGTGTGTGTGTGTATCCCCAGCTCCCTCCCTCCCACCTGCCCCGGGCCCCGGGCCTCGCTGTGAACGGCTGGATTGGCGATGGTGCACAGGGGAGGTGGGCCCAGCCCCCCCGAGGGTGTGTGGGGCTGCTCTGCAGCGCACAGGAGAGTGAGTGTGTGTGTGGGGAGTGGGGAGGGCATCCCTCTGCACCCCCTTACCCTTCAGGGTGGTTGGGAGTGCCCTCTTGCCTGTGGAAATCAGGGAGGAGCAGCAGCTGCTGGAGGTGCCCACCCCTCACTGCCCCACTGCGAGTGAGGGTGGGGAGAAGCTGCCCCCCAAGAAAGGGAAGGGGGAGCGGAGCAGCTCGCGTGTGGGAGGCAGCACAGCCCCTGTGGCACTTTAGGAAGGGGCCTGGTGGTGGCTCAGTGCCACCTGAGGAGAGGGGGAGGGCAGTGCCACGCGTGCCAGGTTCCAGCGTGGGTCACAGCCTGCTCAACATGGAGCTAAGCCCCTTCCCCAGGAGCGGCTGAGCCCCCTTCAGCACGGGGTGTGTGTGGGGTGGAACCGGCAGCAGCGCTGCACCCTTGATCAGCACCTCCGTCCTGCCGGAGCGGCCACCAGCCCTGTGGCCATGGCTGCTCCAGCTGCATGCGCCTCCTCCCAGCCCCTGCTGTGGCTCTCTGGGGGAAGCAAAGCCCCTGGCAGTTCCTTGCCCACCTGGCAAACCGTTAGCCAAAAAACAAACCAAACACCAACCCCACTGCATCCGGCATGTGGCTGCCTGCCCCGGCGCTGTAGAGTAGAGGCATTTGTTACCAGGCCCCAGCTCCAGGGGGCCTGGTACCTGGCCCTGCAGAGGCTGTGGGTGCCCACCCCCCAGCACCCTGTGGGGCTCCTCCTTGCATGTGGGTGTAGGGGTTCACTTTTAGCTCACTTGCTGTGGGGCAGAAGGAAGGGGGTAGGGACAGATGAGGGTAAAAAGGGAGCTGGGAGCCATTTTCAGCCTCTCCGTGGCTGCTCCCACTCCCTCCTCTGGCCCCCCTCAGCCCCCTCCCCTGGGACAAGCAGGGGGTCTCTGTACACAGGGCTGCAAACAGAGCTGGGCCTGCCCCGGCGGCTGCTGTTTGCTCAGAGGTGGAACCGTGGCACTAGTCAGTGTTTTTATGTAAATAAATAACAGACCCTGAACTCCGTGTGCTTTTTTTTCTTCTCCCCGTGCTCCACATCCACAGCAGATCTGCCCCCGGGGGGGTGAGGATGAGGAGGGCTGCCATGGGTGAGTCGTGGAGCACAACAGCATCAAGCAATGGAATAAGATCAGCAGCTTCCCCACCCCAGCCCCGGGCAGCACAGGCCCCGGGGGGGGAAATAGGAGCTTTCCCTGCCCATCCTGAACTGCAGCTTCCTTGCACCCCAATACTCAGCTGGAGAACCACCCCCCACCCCCCCAAAAACCTGTGTGGAGGAAGGCAGAGGGAGGGGTGCTGCCCTTACCAAGCCCAGGACCTTTCTGAGGGGCAGCCAGAGGAGCTGTGTGCCCCAGAGCACCCCCTGCCTCCGGGGAGGCATCACCCCCAGCAGAGCAGGGGCACCCCCAGCAGGGCAAAGCCCCTCGAGCAGGGGCAAGGGGGTCCCTTCCCCCTGGGAGCCGAGGGGGGAGCCTAAGGGGAGGCAGCAGGGCCAGGGTGGGGTGTAAGGGGAGAGTGTCTCGGGGAACATGTGAGTCAGGGAGAAGTTATCCCCCTGTCAGC